CTATCTATCTATCTATCTATCTATCACAGCAAATGGAGCCAAGGATTGTTTTCTACCTGGAGGTTTAAGTTTGTGGCTGGTCTGACAGAAAAAAATTCCGTGTTAGAACAGAAGTGAAGGAAAAAGAGAAAATTCCTTGGAAGGGAACGTGATGAAATGATGCCTTTTGCTTGAAAAGACTGGCAGAGACGAGAGAAGGCAGGAAGGATAATGAGACGAGGGAAGGAAGGAAGGGGAAGGATAACGAGATAAGGGAAGGGAAAGGAAAATGTATGGGGCTGAGGGGAGGAAGGATAATGAGATAAAGAACAAGAAAGAAAAGGAAAAGTATAGGAGAAAGGGAGGGAACGGAGGAAGGAAATAAAGAAAGAAATGGGAGATGGTCAGTTGCAACCCACAAACAATTTCTCCCTGTGCTAAACATCTGGTTTACCCTAAGCATAGCACTGTGCCCCATTGCAAACAAGATTTCCGTTTCATTTTCTCCACACAATTCTTGTGAAGGTAAGATACCAGCCTCCTGTTGCTCCAACCTCTCTCTTTTATCTCTCTCTCTCTCTCAAAAAAAAGCTAGAATAATGCACGCTAACTCAAAATCAAAACCAGCTGCTCAATTTGCAAGCCAGAAAGCAATAGTCCACGGTGGTAATTCTGGGAGTGGAAGCCCCCATGTTTTCAAGCTGCCAAAGTCGAGAAAAGCTCTGGCCTTAAGCCACTTCCTGAGGAACTGAATCCTCCTGAACTAGTAAAGAAATGGTTTTGAGTACGGCTGTATTCGAATCCTGCTGAGACTGGAAGAATTCGGGATTGAATTCTCCGTCTGGGCGACGCTGAAGAAATTTGTAGGGTGAGGTCATGATTGATGTCCCTCTGTCAGCTGATGAGGCTAAATAGCTTTTCTTCTGACAAGTAGTTGAAGATTAATACTAAAAGGAATGCATTACTGATAGCAAAGTATTCTGCGGCTCAACAGCACGCCTCTAATGCAGAATTTGGAATGGGATAGGATAGGAGCAGAATAGAATAGGGTAGGATGGAATGCGGTGGTGGGAGGCAAACTTTTTTACTACAGGTTCGGTGGGCGTGGCTTGGTGGGCGTGGCAGGGGAAGGATACTGCAAAATCTCTATTCCCTCCCACTCCTGGGGAAGGATACTGCAAAATCTCCATTCCTACCCCACTCCCTGCGGGAAGGTTGTTGCAAAGTCCCATTCCCTCCCCACCCCACTAACCTGCTTTCCAGCTCCGTTCTCCTGTGCAGGGCAACCAAAGAAGACCCAGCCAATCAGCTGGGACTTGGTGGGTGGAGAATAGATGGGGGCGGGGCCAGTCAGAGGTGGGATTTGCCGCATTTCTCTGAACTACTCAAAATTTCCGCTACTGGTTCTCCAGGACTAGTTAGAATCATCTGAAGACCACCTCTGATGAAATGGAATGGGATGGAATAGGGATGGCATGGGATGGGGTAGGAGTAGAATAGGAGTAGAGTAGAGTAAAAGAGTAGAATAGATTTATTTATGTACTTAGCGTATGGCAAATACATGGACTTACAATGGTTCAAATATTAAATGTCCAGTCCACCCAGCCATTCAAGAACAGACATTGGGCCGGTGTAAGCTCTTGATAGACATTGGGACACAACGGGATGGATATGTTGTCAAGGAACACCACAGTCACACTGAGAGGAAGAGACAAGACCCCACTTACACAAGGAGTCCTGGCAGATACCATGTTGGGTACAGATCCTGTTCAGAGTTGACCAATGCTGGCGAGGAAGGTCAAAACTTTTTGTGTAGGGTCAACTACGTAACTGCCTGTAGAATGGAATGGAATGGAATATAGAAATAGGTATAGAATGGAGTGGACTGGACTAGACTAGACTAGACTAGACTAGACTAAAATAGGTATAGAGTGGACTGGACTGGACTGGACTGGAATATGGAATATAGAAATAGGTATAGACTGGACTGGACTGGAATAGAAATAGGTATAGGTATAGAGTGGAATGGACTGGAATGGACTGGAATATAGAAATAGGTATAGAGTGGAATGGACTGGAATTGAATGGAATGGACTGGACTGGACTGGATGGGATGAGATGGGATAGGAGTAGAGTAGGAGTAGAGTAGGAGTAGGATAGAATAGGGTAGGATGGAATGGAATAGAATAGGAATGGGATTGGATAGAATAGGATAGGAGTAGAATAGGAGTAGAGTAGACTACTGGATTAAATGACTAGAGTAGAGTAGAATAGAATAGGGTAGTATGACATAGGAATAGAATAGGAATAGAATAGAATAGGAATAGAATAGAATAGAATAGGAATAGAATAGGAATAGGAATAGGAATAGAATAGAATAGGAATAGAATAAAGTAGGATTAACAGAATTGGAAGGGACCTTGGAGGTCTTCTAGTCCAACCCCCTGCTCAGGCAGGAAACCCTACCATTTCAGACAAATTTAGATAAATAGTAAGACAAATGAACATGTGTGTGTGTGTGTTTGTATAAATCCCCGACTTACAATCATTCATTTAGTGACCATTCAAAGGTTACAGCGGCACTGAAGAAAAAGTGACTCGTGGCCATTTTTATTGGAGGGACTTCAATTCTCCTAGCCGAGTTGGTGCATGTTGACCGTATCTTGTTGTGGCATTCCTGTTGGATCTGCAGCAACCAGATAATCCGGGTAAATATTTACAATGTGGAGAGGACATTTCATGCCTCTTCTCCCTGCGCCCTTCTAGTTACGTGTCTGGCTTTCTCTGCCGTCTTCGGTTTCCCATAGATTAGCAACCAGCCATCTGAATTTTTTTCCTTCCTAATTTTTTTTTTTTTCACACACCCCTCCCAGCATGGATTTTTTTCCCCTCCTCTGCAACGCCTCGGCCAGTCCTTATCGGCAGAGAGAGAGAGAGGACAGGCTAGTAAAAGAAGGTCAGAATCGCAAACATCTGGAAAATTTCAGCTTCTTGAGAGATGTTGAGGCTTCCAGGATGTCTTAAGCCATAATTTTTTTTTTCTCTCCACTTCCTTGTCTTCTCGATGTGCAGGACAGCTGGCTGGGAGATGATTAGGATTTATGAGTGTTGGGAATCTTTGGTGGGGTCTCCAACCCATTTTTTGGAGAGAGAGAGAGCAGTGCCGATGCTGGTGTTTGTTATCAGGAAAGCCATAAGGAGGAGTGGAGAGAGGGGTCTTCTCGGATTCAAACTACCAGTGAATTTCTTGAAGAGGTTTGCAGTGGCCTTTTCCTAGGATATTTTTCTTGACCAGCTGGTTTCACCTACAGCTATGTCCACTGCTAAACTCTCTTCCAAGCAGGGGTGGGGTTCTACCGGTTTTGGCCTCCTCTGTTAGAACCGGTTGCTCTGAAGAGCAGCAAACAGAGAGCATACGTAGAACCGGTTCTATGTCTGCTGCTCTTTTGGTCCACCCGCCTGCCCGGGCTCTTACCTAACTTTTATTTCCTGCTTTTTCAACCGCAGCTGCTTGGCACGACACAGCTGTGGTTGAAAAAGGAAAAAAAAGTGCCTTTTCAACCGCGGTGCACCTGTGTGCAGCTCTGCTCAGCTGTCCAGGCAGCTAGCGGACGATGATATACATGTGCGTGCAAAATGTAAAATCACCAAACCAGTAGTTACACCGGTCGGATCCCACCCCTGCTTCCAAGTACTAGCTTAGTCTGATCCCAGTTTACCTAGGCTAGAGCAGCGGTCGCCAACCAGTGGGTCGGGGATCACTGGTGGTCCACGAGAAAATTTTGATGGTCCGCAGGGAAATGTCACCCCCAAAGCACCCCCCCAATTAATCCAAGCTGCACGGGAACTGCGCCACCCACATGGCCTGTGGGAACACAAGGCTTGCGTCAGTTGCATTGTTAACAACACGAGGTAGTGAGAGGTGGGAGGAAAGGGAGGAGGGGGGACTTGCCCCACGCGCCTGGACTGGCCACCGGGCTGCTTCTTTCCGCTTCTTTCTTCTTCTGCTTTTGGCTGAACACAAGGAAGGCAGCAAAAGTCTTTCTTTCTTTCCTCCAAACTCCACCAGAAATAAGTCTTTGGGACCCTGCAAGGCCTCCTGCTCCAAGAGGCTGCGCCGGCATGACAAGTCTCACAAAGACTCATTTCTGGCGGAGTTTGGAGGAGAGAAAGAAAGACTTCTGCTGCTTTCCTTGCATGAAGCCAAAAGTCTCTCTCTCTCTCCCCCTGAGAACGGAGCTGGAGATGGAATCCTGCGATCCCAAATAAAGAATGATCGATCGGTAGGAAAAACGGGGTGGGGAATTTTCCTGCAAACTTTTGGGGGGATTTTCCTAGGGTCTCTGGTCCGCGGAATTTAAAATTATGAGTTTGGTGGTCCCTGAGGACCAAACGTTTGGTGACCCCTGGGCTAGAGGATGCCCTTTAGCTGGGGCTATCAAAGAGATAAATTATTGGCGCTCCCTCATCTTGGTTGTTTCCTTGCTGACGTTTCATTACCCAAATTAGGTAACACCATCAGCATAGTACACCACTAGTACTGATGACGCTACCTAGTTTGGAAATGAAAAGTCTGCAAGAAAACAACCAAGCTCAGAACTTTTGATTACAGGACCGGGGATGATGCTGTGAAGGTCATAGGTGTGAGGATGTAACAACTGTGGCCAAAAATAAATAAATAAAAGGTCGAAAAATCAGGTGCAGCTCACTTAACCCCCTCCTTTGCTTAGCAATGGAAATTCTGGTTCCAATTGTAGTCATAGGTTGAGGACTGGCAGTTCTGTTCTTGCATACTTTTCAGTAAATATTGTAGTGTTGGAAGAAAGTTGAAGGACCTTTGTCCTGCAGAGTTGAAGGAGCAAAGTCTGTTAGTCATCGCAAAAGTCACTGGATCTGCCACCTAATCGCTTTGCTTTTAATCCTGTAACGTGTTCTAGATTCCCCGGCGCTTTCTGTTAGCAGGCGAAATCTCTCTCTCCTCCTGGATCGATTTCAGTTCTCCTTTTTCTTTTTCCTTGCAGCTTGGTAAATGAGTATGGAAGATTATGACTTTCTCTTCAAAATAGTTTTAATCGGGAACGCTGGTGTGGGGAAGACCTGCTTGGTACGACGATTCACACAGGTAAGAAGGTACCAAATGGATTGGAGCCTCGTAGATATTTCTGCATGACGGGGAGAAAAGACTGGATATGATATGACCCCCCCCCCCCCCCATTCTCTTTAGAGCTCAGTACATGATTTGAACCATTTGCTTTTGATGTGAGGTAATTCCTTTTGTTTCATTTCATTCATTCATTTATTTATTTCATTTATTATTTTAATTGTTTTATTTTATTATTTATTTTATTGCTTTATATTATTTTATTACTTTATTTTATCTTATTTTATCGATTTTTATTTTATTGTTTTATATAATTTCATTATTTCATTTTATTTTATTTATCTTATTTTTATTTTATTGTTTTATATTATTTTATTAATTTTATTATTTTATTCATTATTTTTATTTTGTTTTATGTTATTTTATTACTTCATTTACTTTATTTCTTATTTTATTTTATTATTTTACCTTGTTTCATTTATTTTTATTTTATTTTACCTTATTTTTATTTTATTGCTTTATCTTATTTTTATTTTATTGATTTATCTTATCTTATTTTATCTTATTTTATTTTATTTATTTTTTATTTTATTATTTTTATTGCATTGTTTTAAAATTTATTTTATGACTTCATTTATTTTATTTTATTGATCTCATTTTACTTTATTTCATTATTTATCTTATTTCATTTATTTTTATTTTATTGTTTTACATTGTTGTATTTTATTCTTTATTTCCTGCCTTTATTACCTTTACAAGTAACTCAAGGCAGTCAACATATCCCACACAGTTTCCCCCTCTTGTTTTCCTCACAACCACCCTATGAGGTGGGTGGGGCTGAGAGAGAGAAGAGAGGAGAGGAAGAGGGAAAGGGAGAGAGAGAGAGAAAGAAAGAAAGAGAGAGAGTGACTGATTTTCCAAGGTCACCCAGCCAGCTTTCATGCCCAAGAGGAGACTAGAACTCCCATTCTCCTGGTTTCTAGATAAAATATACTCATTATTTAAAAAGGCTATGGGTAAAAACTTCCCTGAGACATTGAATTAAAAATGGAGAGATTGTCGGGGCTTCATCAGTGTGAGATGGTAAATCCGCCCTTTTGTACATCATGTTCTGTGAGTTGGTCTGTTGTTGGCTTGCAAAACACCCAAACAGGTTTTAAACGTAATGATAACAAATGGATCGGTGTGGACATTTCTTTCTACAGAGCTGATTTTTCCGGTTTGTTAAAACTACTGTACAAGGCAAGGTGGATTTGATTTAAAACAAGTCGATGTAAATCACGATGTTTAAATCATGATTTCAACCCCTAGTAAAAAGGCTTAAATCGGTTTAAATCATAATTGTCAAAGAGCAGCTGTCATCTCTGCTGTGGCATTGGGGGAACACATCAATGCAGGGCACGTTATCTCAGCTGGCAAGAGCTTGGATTCACTGAACGAGTTGAGCAAATATGTAAATATTGCAGAATATAGATAGAGCCTCATGCGACATAACCAGGGGTGGGCTGCTGGGGGTTTACAGGGATTCAGGAGAGCCCCTAGCTAAGATTCTGTGCAGTTTGGAGAACCCCCAAATCCCATTCCTGGCTGCCCCCCCCCTCCAAATGTCGCCCATTTTGGATGCAGGTAAGTGCAGGGCATGTGCAGAGGCTTGGGGAGCGGGGGAAATGGGCCTCCCGGAAGTTCAGGAAGACCGCTTATTTTAAAAACAAAGTCTTATTTTATTGCAATGCTGGGAATTGCTTTCATTCCCAGCCGGTAATTAATCTCAAATAGTCCCTCGAGATAAGCACCCACCTTTCTTTCCTGTGAAGTGCTGCCAATAACAGAAGTATCAAATGAACTAGAAAGAAAACCAACCATAGTACAAAGAGCTTCAAGAATGAGTCTGAACCGAATGAATGACTTTGCTTCCTGCAAAGGTTTCTCTACCTTTGCCTGTCCTTTATACCTTATGGGAGGGGCAATCACTCCCAGCCTTACTCCCAAGTTGCCCCTTTTGTTTCAGCTGCTCTCGTCTTCTAATAGTTCTGCGCACATGCACACTGGGAACAGGCTCCCCTGGGTCCTCTGCCTCGCTGCTGCCAGACTCTGAAGGCTCCGGAGGCAGCACCCCACTCCCAGATGGTCCTGGCCCCATCTCTGAATTGGATGCAGGACCCTCGTCCAAGTCCTCTCCAGACTCCCTGACTGGTCCCCTTTCTTCCCCACCGTCTGATTCCACGGCTATCTGCACAGGCTGCCGGTGAACCACAACAGAACTAATCATATATAGTATCAGGTGTAGAATATTGGTTTTCCTGCACAATTGTATTTCTCTACTTATAGTTATGTTTCCCCTGTCTTTTTAAAAAACCCAGGAAGACTGGCATGGTCCAGGTTTCAAAATTAAATTTATCTTGTGATTTTTGGCATTTTTTTTTGCCAGCTTCCGACATTTATTTCCAATTTCCAGCAAAATACATCCCAATTGACTTAGTGGATTCATTTAGTAAACATGGAATTCACTTCACGTCCTTGACGCTTATATAATGACCGCTGCATTGGCTTAATGGCCGTCACAAAAAAGATGGCAAAATTGAGCATAGTCAAAGGCTGACCCGTTTAATGTCCAACGCGACATACGACCTTAACTCACTGTTGTAAGTTGAGGATGACTTATAGCAGCAAATGACAGCTGCTCTCAACTTGCATTTCTTTTGCTAATTATTTTTGAATCGCGCACCATCCAGAGTCACTACAGAGTCGGGCAGCCTTATTGATTTAGTGAATAAACTTAGCAAGTTAAGTTAACTTAACAACTGGCTGGTGGTTTTATCTGAGGGCATTTTTTTTAATTTAAATTTTGCAACCAATTTTCTCAGGACAGGCTTGTTTCATGGATCTCATTAAAAACAAAAAAGCCTGACCGTCTGCTTTTCCCATGTCCTTCTGCCTACCACATCAAAACGACAATTCACCAGCAAGTAATCGTTTTTATTTTTCAGGTGCCTGTAAGTCAGCCACCACGCAAAGCAATATACATCCCAGCATCAATAATGAATGCAGTTGCTCACTCAAATCCATTTGGAGATCGGAGCTGAAATATAGAGGCTCCGTTCCCCTCGATGGCTCGTAATGTTGGAAGCGGTCCTTAAAACCCCATATGGAAACAGCGAGGCATTTGTGCAGGGAGAATTAATACTTAAACCAGCTTCACACAGCCTCTTGCAGACCAAATGGGTTTTAGGGCCTTTTAAAATGTTGATAGATCCGGCTCCAGGTATTCTGGGAAACTCCGGTGCCAACAGTCTGAAACGAGATGTGGAGAAAAATGCTTTTGATTATGACCTGGCTATTTTGGTGCCAGTTGGTAAATGAGTTGAACATACAAACGTGAGCAGGTTTTAGAATTTCAGTTTGTTTTTCCTCCTTTTTCCTTCTACCCAAGACGATCTACAGGTAGTTCTCGACTTATGACCACAATTGAGCCTCCACATTTATGTTGCTAAGTGAGATTCCTCCCCCCATTAATGAAGGTCACACTGTCCAATTAGGTACCCAGGTGTTGTTATGGGAAAACCTCCACAACTCTGGCAAACACATGCTGGAACGACCTTGGTTCCCATGAGACAGTTTCTTGTTTCGTCTTTTGGATTACACTTTCCAATCTCTCCCTCCCTTTGAAGCCTGACATAGGCTGGGTTGATTGGTTGCCTGCCAAGCGTCCAAATTTTGATCCTACGACCATGCAGATGTGGAAATGGATGTAAGCAGGAGGACTAGTTGCAAGTTCCATTTTCCGGTGCCGTTGTAACTTCTGACAGTCGCTAAATGAATGGTTATAAGTCGAGGGCTGTCTATATTGGGCTAACCCAAGCCTTAAACAAAAATGTTGTGCCAAACAATCATCGCCTCTAGTTTTGCCTGAATATATTTTTCTTTTCTTTTCTTTATTTAGGGACTTTTCCCACCAGGTCAAGGAGCTACCATTGGGGTTGACTTTATGATTAAGACAGTGGAGATAAATGGAGAGAAAGTAAAAGTAAGTCCTGGCTTAACTTTCCTGCCTCAGCTTGGAATCTGTTCAATGTTCCAAAAACGTGTGTGGCAACTGACGACAACTTAAAGGAAACATGATATGCTTCCCAAGTGGAACTTAGTCTCCAATTTAATCCCTTCTTTAAAACCTCCAGTGTTGGAGCACCCAGAACTTCTGAAGGCAGGTCCTTCCACTGGTTAATTGTTCTGTCAGGAAATTTCTCCTTAGTTCTAGGTTGCTTCTCTCCTTGATTAGTTTCCATCCATTGCCTCTTGTCCTGCCTTCAGGGGCTTTGGAAAATAGGTTGACCCCCTCATCTTTGTGGCAGCCCCTCAAATATTGGAACACGAGAGAGAGACAGGAAGGAAGAAAAAGAGAGAGGAGAGAAAGGAAGGAAGACAGGGAGGGAGGGAAGGAAATGTGGGAAGATCACTTGCAACAGAGAGGCAAAAAAGAGAGAAAGGGAAGGAAGGAAGGAAGGAAGGAAGGAAGGAAGGAAGGAAGGAAGGAAGGAAGGAAGGAAATGTGGGATGATTAGTTAACAGAGGCACAGAAAGAAAGAAAAAGGAAAGAGAAAAAGAAAGAAAGAAAGAAAGACAAGGAAAGAAGGGAGGGAGGGAGGAAAGAAAGAAGGAAGGAAGGAAATGCGGGATGATCAGCTGCAACAGAAACGCTAAGAAAGAAAGGGAAAGAAAAAGAAAGACTGGGAAGGAAGGAAGGAAAGAAAGAAGGGAGGAAGGAAGGAAATGCGGGACGATCAGCTGCAACAGAAAGGCTAAGAAAGAAAGAAAAGAAAGTAAGTAAGTGATGGAAACTGTGGCTTTATTCTCTTTGCCTTTTCAAGCTGATTATTTTAGGAACTTTGCCATTTTCAGAACCAATCTTCAGGAAAAACGCGTGTTTTTCCCTCTCTCCATCGTCTCTCTTTTCTTTGGTCTTGTGTCCTTGAGAACACAAGCAAGGGCGAGGGTAGTTGTGTTTCTTCTGGCTCGTGTAAGCTGCCGTGGTGATTTCTGGAGCTTAACTGAAGGAGCCATTTCTTTCCATCCCAAAGCGTGTCTCTCCTCTCTGCGTCCCAAAGCATCTGGAAGGGACACGTTTTGGATAGACTTCCTTAAGCAGAAAGAAGACCCCATTAACTGCCGACTTCACGATGGCTTCAGCTAGTAGGGTTGGCTCGGCAGGCCGTTTAGCATCTGTGGTTGTTTCCCTTCAGTAGGAATCAAGTTCCTTTCGAGCCTCTTTGCTCGGGCAGAATTGCAAGGCCCCCCCCTCTGCCCTTCCCCCACTCCCCTCACTACCTTGTGTTGTTCACAATGCAAGCGACGCAAGCCTTGTATTTCATGTTGGTGGCGCAGCCTTGTGTTCCCACACAGCCTGGATTAATTGCTTTGGGGGGGTGACATTTCTCCGCAGACCGCCAAAATTTTCTCACGGACCCCTAGTGGTCCCTGGCCCACTGGTTGGCGACCGCTGTTCTAGTCTAACCCCGCTGCTTAGGCAGGAGTACTGTATTGTGTGTGTGTGTGTGTGTTCGCCATTTTGAGTTATTTCCGGGAGCTTAGTCTTAAAGGGGCCATAGTTCCTCCGTGCTAGCTCAGAAATTCTAGGAATTGAAGTCCACACGTCATAAAGGGGCCATTAGTTGTCCACCCCTGCATTAAAAGATGAGGATATATTATTAGAATATAGAATAATAGAGTTGGAAAGGACCTTGGAGGTCTGTAGGAAACCCTACATCACTTGAGACAAAGGGTTCTCCAATCTCTTCTTAAAAACTTCCAGTGTTGGAGCATTCACAACTTCTGGAGGCAAGTTGTTCCATTGATTAATTGTTCTCACAGTCAGGAAATTTCTCCTTAGTCCTAAGTTGCTTCTCTCCTTGATTAGTTTCCACCCTTTGCTTCTTGTCCTGCCTTCAAGTATTTTGGAGACTAGGTTGACTCCTTCTTTGTGGCAGCCCCTGAGATATTGGAAGACTGCTATCATGTGTCCCCTAATCCTTGTTTTCATTAGACTAGACACACCCAACTCCAGCAACCGTTCTTTTTATGTTTTAGCCTCCAGGCTCCTAATCCTCTTTGTTGCTCTTCTCTTCACTCTTTCTGGAGTCTCAGCATCTTTTTTGCATCGTGGCGACCAAAACTGGATGCAGCATTCGAGGTGTGGCCTTACCGAGACCTTATAAAGCTTCATTCTAACACGTCACGTGATCTTGATTCTATCCGTTTGTGCAGCCTAGAACTGTGTTGTCTTAGTTTATTGCATACCCAGCTTGGATATCATGTATTGTAATAGTCAATCTGTCTACCGTTCCATTGATTTCGTCTACAATCCTGTGTAAGTTAATAGTTAAGAGGCCATGATAAGGCAGACAGGAACGTTCTGTAAAATAGTAAATACTGCAATTTTCATATAGGGGCACTTGATAGGAGGCTAATGGTCAGAGTACAACATTGTTTAAAAAGAAAGGCAATCTTTTGCTTGCTTGGGAAAAAAAATATAATTTGCAGCTTGGGGGGAAAAATAGTTTGCACGTACTGTATGCACTACTTTAAATGACTGTAACGAAACTTCACTCTTAAGTAGTTGACATTGGCTCTCCTTTATTCATCACATTGGCCCATAGCTCTGGAAACTTTAATCTAGGGATTTGCTGAATTCATTGTATACTTAAACTTTCCTCTTTCCCAAAAAAATGAAAAACAAGCTATTAAAATTCTGTCAACGAAAGAAACAAAAAAAAATCAGCATTAGCGTGGCAATTTTTTAAAAAAAAGAGATTAAAAAAAAGAGAGGCCAGATAAAATGAAGAAGAGTTCATCCAACCAAAACCTTTGGAGAATAAACCTTAAAGTTGGCATTGTTACTTGCTTTGAATGCCAACAGATGTTTTGGGTAAGTTTGCCGTGCTTTGTACTCTCTGAGCTTGGTTGTTTTCTTGCAGATGTTTCATTACCTGACTGGGTAATCATCAGTGCTAACTCCACTCCCTTCTAGCCCTGATGGTGTTACCTAGTTGGGTAATGAAACATCTGCAAGAAAACGACCAGGCTCAGAGAGCACCAAGGACTTCTCCTTTCAACCCTGAACTACAAATATTCTCCTTGATCAATACCGTTTCCCTTTTTTTTCCCCTTTTTATACTTTAATTGAAAAAAAAAAGTTTTGAAAGAAATAAAGATGGACACTTGATATGGATGGGGACACCTGGAGGATTTGTGGGCTAGGAAGGACATGAGGTCACAGGTTTCACTGGGGTCAATGCTAACATCATCATCATCATTATTATTATTGTTGTTGTTGTTATTATTATTATTGTTATTGTTATTTTTCCTTTCCCCAACCCTTTGTTTTTCCTCTTTTCTTCCCTGTTGTGGGGAACACAAAAGCTGCAGATTTGGGACACAGCGGGACAAGAAAGATTTCGTTCCATTACGCAGAGCTATTATCGCAGTGCCAACGCGTTAATCCTGACCTATGACATCACCTGCGAAGAGTCCTTCCGATGTCTCTCCGAATGGCTACGGGAAATTGAGCAATATGCCAGCAATAAGGTCATCACCGTCTTAGTTGGTAAGAGACATTGGCATGCTTATCCGATACCAGGCATCTTGTCGGGTGCAATCGATCAGGAAGCAAGGCTTCAGGTTTATTGCATGCTTAACGCTCTCAACAAGAAGCTGAACTACTAAGGGTCAAAGCAAATTAGCGGTAGATAAAAGCCGATGGAATTCAAGGTGGGCTTAGATCTCTTGTGAGCGCAAAGGGACTCCAAATTGATGACGTGCTTGACACCTCCCTCAGGCTCAGCCTGGTCATCTGCTACATCTTGCCAAATTAAAGCAACAACCTGCGTAAGCATTAGATATTGTCTGTGAACAGCTAGGGAGGGTCCATCTTCACCCTCTTCTTGCATACCAAATATTCCAAGCTTCCTCTTTACTCTCAGGGAAAGAGCCCCTCCTTCCTTCGATCTGGACCAGATTTCACCATACTCTGGCAACCCAGATCTCATTTTTATCAAACTCTCCCTGCCACACACTTATATAGTTGATGTTTAGCTGAATAAAAATCACTACACTCTGCAGATTCTTTGTTCAGTTGTTGGCTTCATGACTTTCTCGACCCCGTCTAGTTTCTTCCCCTTCCTGGTTTCTCTTACTCTTTGCGCACCCTTTGTTCAATTGTTGGGTTCCCGACTTTCTTGATCCCATCTAATTTCTTCCCCTTCCTGTTTGGTTTCTCTTACTCTTTGCGGATCCCTTGTTCAGTTGTTGGCTTCATGACTTTCTCGACCCCATCTAATTTCTTCCCCTTCCTGGTTTCTCTTACTCTTTGCGGATCCTTTGTTCAGTTGTTGGCTTCATGACTTTCTCGACCCCGTCTAATTTCTTCCCCTTCCTGGTTTCTCTTACTCTTTGCGGATCCCTTGTTCAGTTGTTGGCTTCA